ATTTAAATTCAGGATTTCAACACAGTATAACCCAGGGTTGGGAAAGTTACTTTGTAAAAGTAACTAGTTACAGTTACAGTTTTTTCGCTAACAATGTAACTAGTTACAGTTACAAGTTACCAATTCTGGAAAGTAACGCGTTACAGTTACAGTTACTCGAAAAGTAACGAATCGTTACTTTGCAGTTACTTCCTTGCAATAGAAATAAAAAAATATCGAATCTGCATCTGAATTGTAAAGCGGCGACCTTAGCGGAAAAAATTTCTATAAATAACTACGAAAAATTGACTTGAAATAGAAATTTGTAGAAATTTTTATATCTTCGTTGAAACATTTATTTCTTTGTAAAAATATATATAAAATAGTATCACAAATTACAATGTTCTCAAATCAAGAAATTATTGCAAGTAGTGTTTCATGAAAATGTACAATTTTGTAAAAATTAATACAAAACTTTACTCGTTTTAAAAATTTGAGAAACAACGAAATCTTAAAGAATTAAAACATCTGCTTACTTGTAGAATATTACAAAAATTAACAAAAGTGTTCCAATTCTAGCATTTTTATGTTGATTTTTATTTTTATAAACACTTTTTAAATTTACGTAGAATTTCTTAGATTCTGGCAGTTATATTTAATTTTTTTGTAGAATTTTGTAGAATTATTTCCGGCAGGGGATAAAGGCGTTTATGCGCAAATGCAAGGCCTAATGCGATTTGTGGAAGTTGAAAATATATACATAAAGTAACTATTAATGTAACTGTTAAATTAGTTACTAGTTATCGAAAAAATGTAACTGAGTTAAGTTACAGTTACAGATGTAGAAAAAGTAACGAAGTTAAGTTAGAGTTACCAAAAAGAAGTAACTGTAACTGTAACTTCGTTACAAGCAACGAGTTACTTCCCAACCCTGGTAAAACCACAGTATAACCAGTACCCCACCAACACATAAACGTTATATAAGCGTTTCAGAAACGTTCGAACGTTTTCGTTCACCAATCGTGCAAATGTCCACCGAGTCAAACGTTTGCTCATCGTTTGGTTATTGCGAAAACGTTTTACGAACGTTTGTCACATAACGTTTCTTGGAAACGTGTTTCACAAAAAATAAAACATATAGGCTAGAATTACATCGAATCATACAAAACTGTTTCAGTCAAAAAATCTTCAGACAAAAAAATTTTTAATTTTTATCTTAAAAATGTTAAGTCCGTGTCACATTACGGCTGCGTTCGGGGAGACGCTATTTTGCACTATACTTATTTTGAATCACCCTGTATGTGTTCTACACGTGTCTAAATTCATATGGGAAGGCACCAGTCATTCCTAGTGCACATTAGAATGCATATGCCTATAACAGTGTTGTGCATAGATGATTTTAAAATTAGCTAGATAAAGATAAGATAAAAATATATAAATTTATCCTAGATAAGATAAAGATTATTTCGTTTTTAATATATCTAGATAAAAGATAAAATCATATGATAATTCATCTAGATAATTTGCAGATAATATTTTTAAGACTTCATGTAAACACAGTAGAAAAGGTTATAAAAAAATTATAGAAAAATTTAAATTATAAGGGGGGATATAGAATATATTCAGGTTAAGTTATATGACACACACATAAATGCATGGTCTACAACGCCATCCATATTTAAATAGTGTAACTGTTAAGTATTTTTATGTGGCTAACCTTATGTGGCCCTAAACCAAATTATCTGTACGTTATCTTAGATAATTTAGTAAAAATAACACTTTCTTTCATCTAAGATACAGATATAGATAATACTTATTTTTATTATCTATATAAAGATAAGATAACGCTAAATTTCATCTCGATAATCATCTATATAATTTTATTTAGATAACGGCAAACACTGGCCTATAATATGCCTCGGTGGTCGAATTGGTTGAGACGCCCGCCTAGAGTGAAGGGAGGTCCAGGTTCAAACCCTGGCTGAAGTAGTATTTTTCGTTATAAATTTTCTGTACTATTAAAATTGCCCGATACGGTCGATAAAAATCACTGATGTCGTTAATTACTGCTGGCGATTTTTAAGAATGTTCTCATTAGTTGATTAGAATGCATATATAATATATGCGAAAATGGTGTAACTTATATAAGATTAAACACGATCATAGAGTGTTATCATAATTAAATGGAACAATAAAATGAATTCTGTCGAATCTGAATGAATCTGATCGTTCAAAACGAGTGTCAGGAAAATCGCAAGACTGCGCTTTGATACCAGAGAATTGACAAACAACGATGGAGCAACGAGGCGGATATTTGATCGTGAAACTACCGAACGAGAGCTTCGCTCGCCTGTTTGTTTGTTTGTTTGTTTGTTTGTTTGTTTTCGCAATAAATAAAATATTCGCGGAGTCGGCAGCGCATCTCGCCAGCCTAGTTCGCGGCTCGCGTCGCATTTTGCAGTCGCAGACGCGGCATATGTATTCATGTCGCGGTGACGCAATATGCCAACGACGCGACGGGGGTGGAAAGACGGTCTAGCACGATAGCGCCGGTTGGGGGAGGATCACCCGGCAGCACCCAACGGAAAAAGAGAGACAGAGAAAGAGAGAGGGGGGAGGGAGAGAGAGAGAGAAGCGTGATAGACGAAGACGCGGGTACGGTATACGGGTGTCTTCTAAATTTTGGCCAAGCCCTTGGTGAAGGGGCAATCTTCGGGTTGCGGGTGTCCGTGTGCATGCGCCACTGCGACGGCGACGCCGTATAGTACCTCAACCCGTCACTCGCCGCCGCCTCGGCGCCAGTATCCATCTCCGCATGTCGGATGTCGGACGATTGTGTCTACGGTTCTGTCGGCGGCGTTGCTCGCCTTCCTCTCATCGCTAACAAGTAAAATGGTAAGTCGAAGCTAACATTCGCACACATCGGGTTTTACTTTTTGTAAGCGGCTGCTCGTGCAACAAAGAAGCTTTTGCTGTCTCCGGGACCCGGGGAGCGGCAAGTTGCGAGTTGCTGCGGGCCAAAAGATCTCGTGTATCCTACCCGTGGGAAGTATCAGGACGGGAATTAAGAAAAATGATCGCTAGATGAGAGGTCCTGAGAACAAGAAGCCTCTTTGGAACATTTTCGTGTGTCCGCTTGCTCGTTTTCCTCGCGAAAAATATTACACGCACGGGGACGAGGGACTACCGTTCGTCGAAGGTCGCGTAACGCTGATGTGCCGCAGACCGCAGCTGTGACGGTGTCTCGTGTCGTCTGCTGCCTGTCGTCTGTTTTACTCGCAACTGGTTAGCCGTGCGCGTAAGAAACGGTGAAGAGAACCGGACCGGACCGAGGCGGTTGTAGAGGCAGGCGAAATTAAAACGCGGCTGGCGAGAGATAGAGACGCGAGGACGTGAAAACGCGGGCATCCGCCCCGGCGCAGCGTGGCATTTATTGTTAAATGCGACGTGCTTTAATGACAGGAAGGACGGGGTAGAGAGGATTGGTACGCGCAGTTCAGCGTGCGGTCAATCTCACGGTTACGAATTTTACCGCGTGATCGCAGCACGTGACGGGCAGGCTCCTTGCGCTGATTCCCCTCCGGTTCTGCAAGGGTTCTACATTTTTTATTTGCTTTATTCTTTGATTTTTCACAAGCTCCCCTATGTTTCCCCAACCAGTAAGCACCTTGGATAAGCAAAAATAATAATTGATAAAAAATAATCTCCCTGATAACGAAATATAAGCTTTATTATTTTAAAATACCAATTTTACTAACAGTAAAATAGGTATTTTAAAATAATAATAACAATTTACTAACAGTAAATAATAGTTTTTAAAATCTTTCTATACCGAGTCAAGCACCCTTATAATGTGAGGCTCTAAGGTGCAGCTTATGTGTAGATCTAACACTGCTGATATTCTCTTTTTATTTTATCTAATTATGCCCTGTGCGCGAAATTTGTACTGCGACGAAAATGTTATTTTCAAAGCGTTGCGTAAAAACTAAGGATTGAGATCAAAATTAGATTAAAATTTGACCAACCAGAGCAAACTTTACTAATTCCAAGTTTAGTGAATTTTATTCTAGTCAAATTTCAATCTAATCTCAATTTTTTTAATTCGTAGTCTGATACGGG